CTAGTACTAGTACCAACACTAGCATTAGTCCGAGTACCAGCACTAGCACTAGGAGTACTAGTACTAGTAGTAGCAGTAGCAGCAGCAGTAGTAGTAGTAGCAGTAGTGGAAGTAGTAGTAGCAGTAGTAGTAGTAGTAGTAGTAGTAGTACTAGTACTAGTAGCTACTACTACTACTACTACTACTACTCTTACTACTCCTACTCCTACTCCTACTCCTACTCCTACTCCTACTCCTACTACTACTACTACTACTACTACTGCTACTACTGCTACTACTGCTATTACTGCCACCACTGCTACTACTGCTTCTACTGCCACTACTACTATTGGTCTTTCTGCTACGAGTGCTACTAGCCATGGGGCCTGCGCTCCCTGGGAGGAACCGGACGAGTTTGTAGCACATCGCACGACCTGGTTTGCTAATGTTATGAAAACGTGTTGTTTGCGTTGATGTCTGCGTATGAGGTTTATCCTTTTCTGATTTGTGGACGAATTGTGTCTCAACACCTTTCCCTGCTTATGAACAGATGTTAATTGGATTGTTTAGATTAGGACTAAGTGACCTGCTTGTTGAAGCGCTGTATCTACATAAAGTTCAAGGTTCCAAGCTCCAGGTAGACCGTCATTGATCATGCACATCCAGGATAGTCGCAAGGATGGAAGGCCTACAGGGCTTTGACCACAAGAATTCCTGGGAGCCTTACCTTGAACATTCCATAGTTAGATAAAGTTCCAAGCCGAGTCGGGATTTGGCGTCTGTTTAGTATGCGACATAGCGCTGCACCATGTCTTAGAATCCAAATTAAGCCGTGCTAGATTTTGCCGGTACAACGGCGTACTACATCAGTCTACTTTGCAATTGCATTCCTTACTTGAATGCAAGCCGTTGTGACCTTCATAGACTCTCTGTCAGCCTCTGTCTCTCTATATATCTACCTATCTATAAATACCATCAATATCAATATCAATATCAATATCAATATCAATATCAATATCAATATCAATATGTATGTATGTATATATATATAAGATGCACAATATATGTACATATGTGTATATAATACACATTTTTTCCATATATCGCATCGCGAATTTCACTGTGGCTGTGCAATGTCGTCAAACCCGTCATAGCGAAATGATATTGGAGCGCTAGAATGGCTACTGAAGTGAAAACACACTGCTCACAAATTTGTGTACATACCGACAATGCACACCCTGCTAAGCATATGTTACCACACCACGAACCTCATAAAATGTGTATACATGTTAACAATTTGCAGCATTACAGTCTTGCGAATGTCGTTGCGGCGGTGAATTGTTGTGAAACCCTTCCAAGGTAAGTAAGACTGAAACGCTACAAACAAAGACTAAAGCGAAAGCACACAGACACGCACGAAGTCAAAGCATGCGCAAATCAGAACACGGCAAGGCGGCACTGCAGCATTCAAGTTGTGTAATAAGCCTTGAAATGCTTTGTATTCGTTCATTTCGCGTGGCCGGGTGTGTGCTGTGTACTTTGGGGGAACGTGTGTTTGTGCTTGTGTATTCATTTGCACCTTAGTCTATCATGAATACACATTCATTGGCCCTTTGTCAGCAAGAGCATGTAGGTATGCATACGTGTGTTGCGCAAAGTTGAGAAACACGCCCAAAAGCTGCAACAAGCGCAACCTGCAAAAGCCCCGGCCCCTTGAGCAGACCGCTCTCCAGAAGTGATAGCGGATTCATCAGTGGCGGGTAATCGGAAGAGCAAGCATAGGAGGACTGTGCATGCTCTAAGAACATGTATAGCAGCACAGCGATCACAATGGTGTGCACAACAACCTTCTTCAGCATCCGAACGCAGGTCGAAAGCTTGCAGGCTTGCAGACAGGGATCAAGAGTCAAAGTAGACTGTGGCCGACGCAAGCTTGAATCGATAAGGATAGCGGATAGTTCTTGGGACTTGTTGGGGCTGTTAGGACCACCTGCGCTAGAACAGGTCCATAAAGGTCAACCCAACCGACATCTACAACGCCAAGCAAAACCGAATTATGTTCGCCTTCAGCTGATTTGTTTCCGAACACCTATGCGAGTATAAATGCATCGACGGCCTCGGCTGAGAAGGACCTTGAAGAGATCAGTGCGGATACCTTGTAGTGCTGTCTATGTTGCATGCTGTCTTCCTGAGCCAATGCCGCCAATGCCCATGCAGAAACGCATGCAGATACCCTGTAGTGCTGTGTTTGGCGTGCTGTCTACTGAGCTGTTGCGCGTGCAGAATTGTCTGATATCTTTGGAGGAGTGAGTTATGTGTGTGGATCCGGGCACACCTTCTGCTCCAGAACCACACAATCATACACTCGTTCCGTTAAACTTGACTCGACAAAGCCCTGACGTAGTTTGTCTTTTGCGACATGACAGGCACCGCAGCCTACTTCCCGAAAAGTGCGTGTAACAATGGCGATCACGTTCTTCTGGGAGCGTGCCCGCTCCATCATCGACATCGTGGAGGCAGATTGAGCAGGTTTCCTGTGTTGGCAACCAGGTTTACAGCCGAGCCCTAAATTCTCGAAGCGCCAGGCAGACGTGGCATGGAAGGAGGCGAAGGTTGGCTATGTGGCCCAGGTTGTGGCCTGGTATCTCGTGTGCCAGAACATCAAGTTCTACCTTTGCCCCAGAAAGGAGCTCAAGAGCGATACGGAAGACGAAACCTTTGCGAAGTTCAAAAGCGAGATGGAAAGCGCGCCTTGTTGGACAATCACTCTGTGTGGGGCCCTGCTAATCATTCATATAGCAGCGAAGCTTAGACGCTCCCTGCTTCCAGCACCCCTGCTCCAGGCCAAGTGCCAGTCCATGCGTGGTGAGAGCTAAGCTTTGGGGTGGCATTGTTCTGTTTTGTAACATTTTCGTGTTGTTCGTCTTTGCAGGCCTGTCCCCTTGCAAGCATGCATCAGCTGAAAAGTTCGAAGCCCGACACCTGGTGACCCAACATCCACGAGGTCTTGGACTACATGGAGACGACTTGTTCTCCCAGCGGCCGTGCCGGCCGAGGTTTCGGCTGCGTAGTTGCTACCAACTCTTTCACAGAGACGAGGGGGCCTTTGCTGAGCCTCGGCTGGTTCTGGCAAGGGAGGTGGGTTTTCCCAGGTGCAAAGCGTTTCTTGAGGATGCGGCAGTCGTTATTGCACTGCAACGGTCTTGGTCTTGGGCTTCGAGCCGCGTTCAGTACACGCGTCGCTCTCAACGAGGAGCGCCTTCACCCGCTTCAACCAGCAAGTCCTGGAGTCTATGGCACCTCATGCCACGCCCACGTTCCGTGCCCTGGATGTTTTCGAGGCCCGGGCATGGAGCATGTTATTATAGCATGTTACTGCGCACCAAGCCTGCATGCCGGATTTGAGCTGGGGCAACACCACATCCCAACATCTGACTGTCTTGATACAAGAGAGAGTGACGAGAAGAACAAACACGAATAACGACGCAAGCAGCAGAAGAAGTGCAAATCGACAAAGAGAAGACACCAACAAGATTCGCTGCTGAGTTATTGCTGCTTTGATCAGGATTCCCTGTGGCATAGGGGCATCGCGAAATGCCGGCAAGCAATCAGCCGGAAAACTTGAAGAGACCCCTACACCCGAAATTCTTCGAGCCCATGGATGCCTACCAGAAGTTTAGATTCCCAATCGCCAGCCCTAAACCCAAAATCCCGAAGCACATGCATGTTTCGCCCAATGTCCCTGAAGGCCCCCAGCCAAACCCTAAAACACCGGGACCGAGCAGCCGAGCGAGGTCGGTGCCTCTATGCCACGAGAGACGATTGCAGGACATGGCTCCCAGGTCAGCGACACAAAGATGAGTCGACATGAGCCGTAGCTTCTATTACTTCTGGTTTCGTTTTCATGTGTTTGGTCGCTTCTCGTTATGCTCCAGCTTTGGGACTTCGTCGCTTTCTCGGTTTGGCTCTGCAAGTTGAGCTCCACCCTCCAAACTCACAAGTTGTTGCAGCGGTTGCAGGTTCTCCACCTTTGGGTTTGGACGATGATTTTTGGGGGCTGGTGCCCTGCCGAGTACCAAGCTGAACCGTGGTGGCATTCAAGACTTGCGTTTCGGGATCTGGGTGCAGCGTGTTGGACTGCAAGGGCGTCGCGGGATTCGACATACCATGCCGAAATTAGGTTGCAATAGGTCAATATTCAAAGAAGTTATAGCCTTCTCGGGTTTACTATGTTTGCTTCTACAAGAGAAGGACCATGTAGCATCGAGCATCGACTGTGACCAAGGACAGTTGGATGGTCAGCTTTCAGGGTGTTCTGTGCTGGGCTGGAAATGCTGAGCCATCCTTGTGCCCACGAATCTCCTATGGAAATGATTGGCACTGCATCAACAGCATCCCGTGTGTCATGAAACCCGTCCAAGCCATAGAGACCACGCCGACTCCCGACAAAATTCTCGTGACCTTCAAGGTGGGCATGCAAGACCAGACTGTATCTCCTGCCGGTGTGCATGTTGCTGGAAGCTTTCAGGACTGGGATCCGGCGGCAACTAAGCTGTTAGACTCAGATCAAGACGGCGTGCATGAGCTTACCCTGGCGTTGCTCCCCGGGTTTTATGAGTTCAAGTTCATCAACGGAGATTCTTGGGACAATGTGGAATACGTACCATTAGAGTGTCAGGAGGCTGGCTCTGGCCATTCGAACAGGTTTCTTTCCGTGGAAAGCGGCTCCTTCGGCACAACAGTACACGTTTGCTTCGCAGGCTGCGCACCTTGTGCACCCCAACCACAGACCACCACAATGCAGCCATCCACAGTGACAGCGACCTCCCAGATCCATGGCACGACCGTAACTTTAACAGCTACGAGTGTCAGCACCACCTCGACACAAACTATTCCGGAACATCACTTTGTCCCTGTCGATGGGGGAGTTGGCCGGGCCTGCCGCGGTAGCAGTAACACAGACAATCGAGCAGAGCACTACGCGGTGTACTCGGACGCGAACCTCTCCGATTGCAAGGCCAGGTGCGAATTAACCAGAGGTTGTGTCGGGGTGGAGTACAGCACAGACCGATGTGAGGTTTGGAATCGGAGTGGTGGAATTCAGGCGAGCATCAACTTGACCGGCTTTGTCTGTCTTGGGTACGTGATGAGGACCATGACTACCATGACTACCACTACCACGTCACTCGTGCTCCTCGAAGCGTTCGAAGAAGTTGATGGAGGGTCAGGTCGAGCTTGCAGGGGCTCCAATGCAGGGGATAACCTTGCCAGCTACTACACTGTCGTCCCCACTCCAAGCCTGATCGCTTGTCAGGAGGAATGCTTGGCTTTGGCCTTGGTTTGTGTTGGCCTCGAGTACAGCCTTGGGCGTTGTGAGCTGTGGAATCGTTCAGAGGGTATCGACACCAGCATTCCTCTCGCTGGCTTTACCTGCCTGCGTCGGCGGGAGGTCCAAAGTGCAACCCCAAGCCGTAGGCTTGCGCATGTTGCTTTCCTTGCCAGAACAAATCCTTGAGGCTTAGTTTCGGCAGTGTCTGTCGGGGGACTTGGGAAGCGATGGGTCCCAGCAGGCCATTGCAGGCACTTTTGGATGGCAAACGTGAACTTGAGCAGTCGCTTGTGTACAGAGCGCGAACCTGCAGATGTGCTTTTCGCGTGAATCACATCTACTTCTTTGTGGGACCGCATCGGGAGCCGACAAGAAGCAGCATCAAGCTGGCTTCCAGCCTGGCCATCATAGATGGCATGTGGGCATGCATGGCGGATGCGTTCGTTTTCGGCCTTGACCGGACTGCTGCAGTATCTGTTGTCCCCTGAAATCAGATGCGAATTAAAAGTGCCAATTGCAGACCGTGCTTGAAAGAGTAATGCCAGGCTTAGAGTGGATGCTGCAGTACTGTGATCGGGTCTCTTTGCTTGCAGCTTAAGCCGTGGGCTCTAGATTTGCTGACTCGTGCACCAAAGAGGCGCAGAGCTGGCATTGTCACATGTATAGCTACAGTTCCTTCGGGAGCCCATCGCTTGGATCGTCGAGCAGTGGAGATGTGCCACAAGCTGCTTGGACTCCGCACAACGCCGGAGCAAAACAGCTGCCTTCTCTCAAAGAGCAGCACAAGTGAGGGTCTGCATCAGCAGGAGGCCTTGGAGCCTCCAGCAGGTGGGGCGAAGGAGCCGTGCGGCGCTCAGCCTTGCAGACCGCGACAGAAACGGATGGCAGCTTGAAGAGGCGTTGCGATGTACATGAATGCCTCAAGTGAAACACGAGGACATGAGGACTTGCATGCTTTTGTTCACCTTCACAAGGCCTTAAAGCGGGCTTAATAAGGGGAGGGAAGGGGTCCCGCCAAGTCTGGCTCGTGTCAGGGCGCGTGCGGTGTCAGGGTCGGCGGTGCCGCGCTGGGAACGCAGAGCGCAAATGCCGAAGGCGTTTGAAACCGTATACATCCTGAAACTTTTCCGGCAATTAAAGGATGTCGTGTCCTTTCCCGCCCCGTTTCCCTGGCCGACAGAATCCGGTGAAGACTGTCCTGTCTCACATCTAATAAGACAACGTCAAGTGCTTTTATCGAATCTGTGGTCCGCTATGGTTTCAAACCGAGTGCTGCGTTACCTGTCTCAGAACCTTGCCGATCCCAGTCGCAAGAGACCCGAAGTCCAAAGTATGGCAGTGCGTTTAAATAGAAGACCTTGCCGCCAAGTCTCGCTCTAGGACTCTAGGTGTCGGAAGGTCTGCAGCTGGAGGTGCAGCCTTTGCTTGATGCAAATATTGGGCTTATTGGAAGTGTTTGAACTCCTGAATCTGCAGCATGAGCACTGGGTGAATCGATGCGCTACTCGTAACAGGCACCTGAACGGGTGGCTTGATCCGTGCAGCCCCCAAGTGAATTCAGAGACCGTCTTTTCCTGTGGCTGAACTCAGAAGCCTCAGACTGCTAGTCACAATTAGTCATCCGGATCTCGCGAGCAGATTGTTGCCGTACAGTCGAGGGCGCTTAGTTTCGCGATCCACAGGCTTCGACCATCGACGCTTGGCACGTGGATGTCAGTTTGGGCCAGCCAATGGCTGCAGCAACGCAACGACAAAGACAAGCATGGAAATTCGCTCTTGAATGGCCTGAAAGCGATGCCGAAAGCAACAGCGTCCGCAAGAGATCATCATGAGTTTCCGAGTCTCCACAGTCGATGGCCAGACGCAGCGTCCAGACTGTTCATCAGGATCTTGTCTCGGTGTGTGTGTGTGTGTGTTTGTTTTTTTCTCTCCTGAATTGATTTTCCTCGCACTCCGTCCACACTGCGGTGATGTGTATGTAACTCATGCCTTCTTGTCTGATAGCCCCCTCGAGCTGTAATGTTTTTCAAGTCATAAAATAACACGACGTACACACATGAACAGTGAGATTGACGCGAAACTCCTCAAAGATGTCGCATGTACCGCGTTCAGTCGGTTTCTCGGGCCCAATGACCCAGTGAGAAGTTTCATTCCAACCCTGGAGCCTCGGAGAGCCGCAGCCAGGCAAGGCTCAAGGTTCACTTACGTCCCAGGCTGTCGAACGCGATTCGACCACAAGTCATTACTCTATATGTCCATGTTTCTGCTGCTCGGGCATTGGCTCTGCATCTGCGGAGCTGTGACCCTGCGCGGCTCTGACCGGAGCGAGGTCCCATCTCTTTCCAGTGCTCAGAGCGAAATCGATGTTGATCCTGGCATTGGCCAGAACGCGACAAGATTGGAGGGAAGCGGCTACACCTACAACAGCAGCCAGCTCTCCATTCTGATCCCGGAAACGAGACCTTTGGTGACATTACCTGTTGTGGTGCTGCAGGCACACACGCACTTCCCCGAGCTGCGAATACAGATCATGTACGGCAGTGCCAACAAGGATTATGTCCGCATGCAGAAAACTCTTGCGGAACTCCGGCAGAAAGGCGTTGTCCTTCTCACGCCGATGCCGGGAGAAGCGTATAATGTCAGCCGTTTCCCTGCAAACAAACGAATTCTTCAATACAACAATGCCCTCACCTCACCTGGGTTTTGGCAGCTGGTAACCACCCCCAAAGTTTTGCTGGCGCAGACGGACTCCTGGATTTGCAACGGGGCTCATGAGCACCTGAAAGACTTCCTTCAGTATGATTATGTCGGGTCTCCGTGGTTCTTTCTACAGACCTCCCGCATCCACGCCGCGTGCCCCAAAAGGCAGGTCGGCAACGGTGGCTTCAGCCTCCGGGATCGCGAAGCGATGCTGAGGATCACCAAGTCTTTCCAAGGGAAGGGGAGTCAGGAGGATGTTTGGTTCTGCAGCCATCTGCAAGACTCCGATAAGCTGCCTTCTGAGGAAGTGGCAATACACTTTGCCAGGGAGACATTCAAAAAGGGGGAAAAGAATCAGAGGACGGGCCCTACCATGCCGCGAGTGGGCGTCCACAACCTTTGGTTGAATGCTACGGAGATCCGGAAGTTCTTCGAGGGCCAGTGTCCCGGCGTGAGTCTCGTGAACCCCAGAGTTGCAACTCTTGACAACAGCGAAGGCACCCTTGGCGAAGCCATGGTCCAGAGGTGGAAACAGGAAGCCTTGCCGCGAATGGTTGGTTTGCTTCAGGACACTGGCAGTGGCATGCTGGACTCTGTCAGTCTGACGCTGATGGCCAAGATCTTCGCGGAGGATCCCCTCCACGATCCGTTGTTGGCTCGCTTCCTTCATGAAGCAGCAGAGGCGGCAGTGAAGTCAGTCCAGTCGCAAAAGCCGATCCACACGTCCAACTGAGTTGCATCAAGACGGAGACTCAACATTAGATGAATTAGATGCGCCGAAAAGAAATTTCCACGTTCTCATGTGCTCATGCGCACGCCGGAGGATTGGACGAGAAGTATTAAGAAAATAATATAAGATAAACCAATGTTTATCGTCGAATTTTGAGCCTTGACCAACCGAGCGTCTTATAGTTAAATAAAATTAAAGTGCACTAACGATGCAGGCTCTCACTCACTTTTGCGGTTCGCTGCACCAAGTAGAAGTCGCTTCAGCGATCGTCGCTCTCGAAGATGAGAGCTTCCCAAAACCAAACTGTGGCAAAATGCCCGTCGCCCCATCTTCAGGTGTAATGGATCTTCTGCTCCACCCTGGCCATCTTGGCTTCTACGCCCTTGAGCGCGGTTTCCCCGTCGTGTAGGTACCTCTGGACTGCTGAAGACGACCACCGTCCCGTGCGCTTCACAAGCTTAATCTCGCCGGTCGCCTGGAACAAGGCCGATGCTCATCCGATTCGCAAGGAGTGCGACCTGAAACGTTCGGGCGGGAGTCCGATGCCTCGTGCTGCTCGTTGCAGCAAGTCTTGCACCTGTGTGCGCTTCAGCATCTGGCCTCCCGACCACCTGAACAGTGGTTGTAGAGCTTCTGATTCGGACCCTTTGTCAAAGCGCTGAGGGGCGATGCTGCGGTACTCGAGGAGGGCCGTCACCACGCATATCCCAGAGATGTCCGACTCGTACATGGTCTTGCATGTCCCGTAGGCCTCCTGGTCCGTTTTTGTCTTACGGAACTGCCTGGTGACCCCTAGCTGGTCGCCATGGTCGGGGCCATCCAGGAACTTCAGGTCCGTCCCCCGTAGGATCATGCCGTAATCGATGCCGTTCGACTCGCAGTACTCCTTGGCCCTCAGCATGAAAAACCATGCCATAAGCACCGCTGCCTCGATCATGATCGCGTCGAACTTCTCCTGAGCCGCCGTGTTGTGTTTGGTCGCAAAGGTCGGGGTGATCCAGCGAATCATCTCGGGTGTCACGCCCAAACGCCGGGGGGGGGGGGTCTTTGGAGACCTTTTGTCCAGGGCCCCCCAGCAACATCCACAGGCGGAACATCTTCTCGGTGGGGTCGCCCTGGCCGCTTCTCTTGTGGCCATCCTTGATGGCGAACACCGCCTGTTTCAACGTTGCCGGTGAGGCTCCCAACAGATAACCAAGGAAGCTCAGCAGCTTGTTCTCGTTCTCCTCCGCCGGCAACGACTTGTCGAGGAACTCCGTCGCCCAACCCTGTCTCTTCGCCCAGGCCCGCCACTTGCCGTAGACGCCCGCATACTGCTTGTGGTGCTCTCGGCCAAATAGACATACAAGTTGTCCTCGATCCATTCATCGACCTTGGCACCTATCTCACCGTCAAAAGGTTGTCCCACGTCGCCAATCTCGATGCAAGCCTCGCCGATCGCGGTCCCCGCCTTGTCTTTCTTGATCAGACGGCGCCCAGTGGCGCGCCCATCCTCGATCTCGGCCTCGCCATCGGTGCCACCCTCGCTGCTCGAGTCCGATAGCCACAAAGCTTCACCCCATCGCCAAACTCGCCCGCCATTGTCCGTCTCCCGGCTGCTCCCGGGCATCCCACTCCAGCGATTTTCTTGTGGCAGCGGTGAATCGTGCCGAGGACACGCTTCCTCTGGTGGACAAAGTTCAGCAGGTTGATGGCACCCATGACATCGATCGTCGCGTAGCCCTGGATCGTGTAGAGGACGCTGTTCCTGAATCCACGGTGTGCCTCCCCGGCACGTCGTTCGCTTTCGTCAGCTCTGCCGTCAGGTAGCGGTGGGTCGGGCCGAAAGCGGAGTTCCCCTGGCTGCCCTGGTCCCGCAAGTTGATGGCACCCTAGGAGATGGGGGTCGTCTCGTTCCCGGCATTCTTCCGGATCCCACAGGCCACCACCGCTCGCCCCTTGGCCGCCTTTACGCGGGAAACAGACCTCGCCTCCATCGACGCAACCACTTCAGCAACTTGTTGACATTCTCGTCGTCGAAGGCATCGTAAACCCCGCCGGCCTTGGTGCCGCCATCTGCTAAATAAGCTGCCATCAAAGCTAGAGCTGCCGCGGTTTGTCCCCCGGTGGCCCGCGAACCTTCAGCTAGGATGCTCTCTGGGGACCAGCCTTGGGCCTTGAGCGCGGCCCACGCATCACCCGAGCGCCTTGGCGTGCCCAAACCTCCTCATGCTGCAGCCGACAGCACACGAACACTTCCTGGCGGCCCTCGTGGATCCCGTACAATGCAAACTTGCACACTTTCTCCTTCACGAAGAGGCCATCGTAGGGTGCCCCCGGTACTAACCAAATTGTGCCTTTGGCCCTCATCCCAGAAGTGGCCCTTGAGGAAAGGCAGCAACGGCTCGCGCGGGATGTCGGCGTCGACCACAATCCGCTGAGGCGCCAACCAGCAATCCGCTGGGACGGCCTTTGTAGGGCGTAGGACACAGCTCATGGGAGGGCCCAAAATCCCGCGGCAGGTGGTCGCCCGGAACGCCCCTTCTATGCACAAACTCCCGGAAGCCACGATGTAGATGCGCCTGCGGGCCGCGACTTCGCCGAACTCCGTGGTCACGAACTCTGTCATTTCGTAGTCCCAGCCGGCGCACCTCGGTCCCAGTCGACCTGACCATCCACACAAGCAGTTATGATTGCTTCCAGAGCCTTCCCGTGCGCATCGGGTGGAAGGGTCGGCATGACAATTTCATCCTTGTGCACCGGGCCTCGCAGACCGCTCCGCCTGGCAGAATCCCCTGCTTCACGGATCACATCGCAGAAGTCAGTCCTCAGTCGGCTAGGGCCGCAAAGCTCCACAAAGCACAAACGCTCCCAGGACGGCCTCAGAGTGTGTGGAATCGATCGGTGCAGCCTCCTCTCCTTCAGCTGCATCATTGCACGGCGGTCCTCCTCACCCCAGGCCAACAGGCACGGCCCAAAGCGTTCCGAGTCGCTCACCGCCTGTTGCAAGGACTCGCGGACATCCACATACTCCCACCCACGCTCTTTGACGATCTCCTCAAACTCCGCGTCGGTGCATCGTGCGATGTAATCGGCGTGGACGTCGTGGTAGGTTCGCCACCAGGCCGGGATGAGAACAAAACGGTGCCTCATTTCCAACAAGTTCAGAACGCGGACCAAAAGCCTCCCCACCGCGGTGCCCGCCCTTCGGCTGGCAATCCATTCACGGACGATTTTGTTGTCCCCACCACACAGCACCACTTTCCCAGACCATCTATGACCGACATGGCACGCGAAGGCAAGGAACGACAACATCTCGGCAACGTGGATCACGACCTCATCCTGATCCTGGCACGTCTGGACCCATACCGCCGCGTTGACAGCGGGCATGCGCATCACGGTGCCGTTGGTCCAGTCGATGGCTCCGATCGTGACTTTGGTGGCGTCGGAGGACACAAAGACCGTGCCTGTCGCCCATTCGTCTGCGAGTGCAAGGCGTTCTCTCACCGGCAACAGCTCCTTCATCCCCGCACCAAACTTTGTGGGCTACGTCTCCGGGCGTGTGCACAGCCATCGCACCTCCTCGAAAAGCTCCCACAAGTCCCGCCATGCGGCGTCCTCCTCCTCCGCATCGTTGGGGGCGCTGAGCTTCGGTTGAGCCTTGGCCCCTCCTTTACGCTCGACGCTCAAGAACCGATCCGCCGCCTTGAGCTCATTCTTTAGGCCTCGCACGATCACGGTTTAGTTGGTGGTGATGCCACGGAAGCGTTGCACCGTCCTCCTCGTGATGTCCTTGTTGCCATACTCAAACGCTATCTCACTCAGCCGGTTGGCCCCTTTGAGGATGCGGCGCTCCGGCAAGTGGATCTCCTCGGTGGCCGTGTCTATGTCCAAACCCCACACTGTCTGGAAGGTGCGAAACGGGCCCTCGATCAGGTCCTTTTCGCGGTTGACCGCCGCCTCCCCGAGCACCATCTGGACCCCCCATTTCATACACCTCGCCTGCGACGCAAGGACGAAGTCCAACCCAAGGCTCGACCACCACATTGTCGTCAACCAAGATGCGGCTCTTAAAGCCCCAGCTGAGATCACGACGGGGTAGAGCTGGGCAATGACTCCCCTGAGAACCCGAAGGAGCTGACCAAATAGATCACGGTGAGGTCCACGCCCTCATCGGCTCGATCACCGCCCTCCATTGCCTCCGGGACCCACGGAAGGTCACCCGCGAACAGGTCGGCGTCGTTCGGGTCCACCCATAGCAGCCCTGAAAGCGCCCGCCACATTTTTCTTGCTCATCAAGACATCGATCCCGAGCAGGGGGGCCTTGGCCCGCAACACCAAACGCGCGATCTGCTCATGTCGGGGTTGAACTACCGGAGGATGCCACTCTTTGTCGGTGCCGCAGTTGATCGCCCGCTGGTCGTGCACAATCCTCTTGTCCGGCGCGATGGACCGGTCTGGTAGCATCTTGTCCACGGCATCGAAGGGGCTCGAAATCCCAGGGCCCATTTCCTCCATCGCCGAAGGAACCACCAGGACCCTGAGCTTGCACACGTCCTTCCAGATCTGGCGTTAGACCTGCGCCAAATTGCGACGGCCATTGGGGTGGATCTTCGCCTGGCAACGCTTTCGCTCGCCCAAGATCCCTGAGAGGTCGGGGTGCAAGACCGTGTCGAGGTAGGGCTCCTCAACCCGCTGGATGGAGGTGGTTAAGACCCGAGTCCTCTCGGACCTCCCAGAAGCTCTTTGCCGCCAACTGCACGGAGCCCGCTTGCTTCACGAGGTCGCCCCCTTTTCTGCACAGCTCTGCCCATGCGACCGGGGTTCCAGGGCCCGCCTTCTGTGCCATGGCGATGTACTGCTGGGCCTGCTCCTTCGCCTGCTCTGGTACATCGCGCTCCCAGCCCTCAGCCCTCGTATCCTCGCTCACCCCGGGCTCCAGTTGGCAGGTCGCACTGATCGGAGAAGATGTACCCATCGTCGTCCAACTCATCCAGCCAACCCACGTGGCCGCCGAGGCCATGCCCTGAGACGCTTTCGCACCGGTGGCTGCCTGCTCGAGTCTCCTCTCCCTCAAACTGTGACGTGCATTCGGAAGGAAAAGCTGTGTCCTCATTCCCTCCCGGCATCAGAACCTGCTGCAGAGTAGAAACGACAGTGCGCACAAACTCGGGGCAGTAACGGCCCGCCTCCTGGCAGCGAGAGATCGAAGACCCCTTCCCGCTGCCCTGCAAAGGAACATGCCGATGTGCAGCCCCAACGCCGGGACACCGTCGTGACAAAGCCACCGCCAAAGCCTCACACTTGCGGAAGACGACGCGGGTGCGATGATGGTAGTAGCCCTCCTCGTCAGCGGGGCCCAGACCAAAGGCACACATGGGAAACTCCACGAACTGCACATCGGGCCAGGCCAGAATCTCCTTCCACCACGGCAAATCCCACATCTTCGGATAAAGGCCCGAACGAGCGGTGGACTCGACCAATGGGAAGCCACCATTGCGTAAGACGGCCAAGAAGATCTCAGCGGTGACCTTGCTCAAAAGGTTGCCGGTGACCTCCACCTGAAGGGGAGGTTGCTTGGTGACGCCACCCGCCGGGTACTGGAACGAGCGGGTGCCCCCATGAGGCCCCAATCACAGAAGCTTGTGCACGGAGGGGCCGCCGCATACAGCAAACGCTTTTGAACTTCAGCGCGAGTGAGGTCGGCAGCCTCGCAGTAGCCCTTCTTGAGTGCTGGGTCCGAGTACACTTGAGTACACCTCAATCGGCGTCAAGTGTTGCAGACCGGCTGCCGCCCATCCAGCAGACATAACCCCGAAACCCGCAAAAACTTCCTGCAGACAAAGACGGTGGCCTCGAACGGAGACTGGGTTCCTCGCCGGTTGCGCGCCGGCCCGAACACATCTAACGATGGCTGCAGCTGCTAGGTTGCTATCGCGCCTCGGGGCCCGGACTACGTCTCCAGCTTTGCGGCCCTTGCAGAAACGGCATGAGATGGCCCCTGCGGCTGTCGGCTCCTGGTCGTTTCGAGAGTGCCAGAAAAGCAAGAAGCCCAAGGCCGGAGTGTCGTAGGGCTGCCAGCGCTCCAAGAAGGTCATGACATCGAGGGTTTCAGGGGGCTCCAGGTAAACAATGTGTCAACGCCACATCAAACACTACAAAGCCCAGCCACTTGGCTGGGGCCCGGTGACGGTCTCCACGACCACATCCCCTTTGTAGTCAGCTCGGATGACAACGAGCTTGCAGTCCTCCAACTCCTGTAAGGGGAAGTCCGCCAGGGACCGGAAGTCCTTGTCGTGGCTCGCCTTGATGATGTCATGGGTGTAGACGCGAATCTCGGCCTCGATCGGGGCGACCTTTATCGCTGGATCTCCCATGGCGTCTG